TTTTTTTTTTAAATTACAAATCTTTTGGGTTACTAACTGTGGTAGTTACATAATCTGCTGTCAATTTGAGAGGATTATGAGTGAAGGGGTAGAGTCTGGCCTGTCAATCAAGATATAACCAATGAGGCCTCTGTGTGGGCATGGCTTTCTCATGAGAATTCTGAGAAATCTCGAATTTCCTTCTTGGAGGCAGGAGAGGCTCTCTCTGCTCACTTCCTGTGAGACTCCTGAGGAGAAGCTACATGGACCTACCCTGATGCAGCCCTGGGAACTAGAGGAGCCACAAGAAGACCCCAGCCAGCCATGAGATGCTTATAACACCACTGGATCCAGAAGACTTCCAACCCACTGACCTGTGATCTTCCTGTATTCGGCATCATTGCATGCGTTTCATGAGTCATAAGAGGACTTTATAGATTGGTATTGGACATATGGGCTAACATTGGGCTTATGGACTTGATCTGGACTGGGCTGGTTTGTTTTCTCAAGGTTCAACTGCTCTTGTAGATAAACTTCTTTTTGATACACATATGACTCTCCCTAGATTTGCTTCTAGTCTCCTGAGACTAACACACTAACGAAGTCAAAAGGATACTTAGAACCTAAGAATGTACTAGAGGTAGAAATCATTCATTTTATTGAGTCTTGATCCTAGAGTACACATCATTTTAGTAGCCTATATGACAAATTGGGAAGAATATTTAGTGTGTTTTGCTGAAGACCCAAATATGATGGTTTGACTGCAGAAAGCACTTGTGGGGTTGAGCTGTGAGTTGGCCTACCCACTTAATTCACAGAGCATTTTTGTTGAAAGAATGAGTAGTAAACAGGTGATGGCTATTTAAACATAGCCCATTGGCAGACATTTCCTCAAACTGCCTGCTATTTCAAATAAACAACTGGCACTGTTCACTGCCATGACAAAATGTACATTACTATATGAAAATTAGGATTGTGGAGAAAACTTTCCCGCCACCAGCTTCTCTTCAGTTGAGACAGATGGTGGCATTGCCACATGAACTTTTTGAATCATGTCATATGCCAACATCTAGAAATAATGCATTACTTGGTGAGCCAACATCTTCCAAGTCTTGTTACTAAAAATTGATTGTAAGTGAAAGAGTCTAAATGATTTTAATGTATTTTAAAAAGTGTTGATGAAACTACCATTGGTTGTATTAAGTATACTCGGTGACATGAAATGATATTAAAATATTTTCTTCACTCAAAATATACCCTGAAGTCATCTTAAAGTTAGTTTGCCTTCCTGAGCACTATGCTATTTTAACACCAGTCTTTGTGGGATCAAATTTACAATACGTGCTTGAAGGATTCGATAGAGACATTGTGGAGTAATGAGTTTGTTCATCAGCTTGGACAGCTTCAAGAATGTGATCAGTGTTGTTAGGTTCAAGGTCCTGGCCAGGAATGGGTGGTACACCTAGGTGGGCGTTACATCTGGATTGGCCATTCTGGGCTAGGTGAATTTGATTCAGCCAATGGAGTCGACCAATACTGTCAACCATGCCTCCCAACGGTGCCCCTGAAAAGCCAGGGGGTTGGCTCTGGCGCTCTCTCTCTCTCCCAACCGCTGACACGCAGTCCAACGGGCCTGTGCCGCATCCTGCCAACCATGCCACGGACTCTGTCTGGCTTGTGTTCCATTTACTGTAAAATCTGAAACTGCTTCTAACTATCATAAAACTCACTTGGATCACAAACCAGGCTCCGGAGTGAATTCTTTTTCACCGAAGCATCTCTCCCAAGAGAAGGAGAGATGTAATAGTATCACTATATTGTAAATGAAGAAACTATGTTTTACTGTATGCGCTCAACGAAATTACCAAATCTTCCTTTTTCAACTATTTGTATGAGAACAATGTTTCTTAAACTGATTTACACATAATTATATTGCTACCTCACTGAAAAAAAATTAACAAATGCCCCTAAACCTAGATTCCCCTCCCACCCCCCCAAAATGCATCCTTCATTAATACTGCATCTACCTGTTAAAAATCTGAGTTATGAGACCCAGGCCCCTAACCGTGAATCAATCTCCAAGGGCTCAAGGGTGGTGGAGGTTAAGCATGCTGCTTTTGGAAGGAAGCAAAGGTTGTGTCTTGATAGTGAGTCTCAGGAAATCCTGTTAAAATGTAACCAAATGGAATGTCTGGCAGGAAGGAGGTGGGGGCACCCATCATAGAGGGTGGGCCCAAGGAAGCTGAGCTGAGGGTACAAAGAGCCTTGGGAGTGGGCCTCGGGGGCACTAAGCAAGGGTCCTTTCCTCATGGTTAGGAAGCAGGCCTTCCAAGCACTTTGTGGCCATGCATCACCTGAGCTTGACCTGTGTGAGTGGACACGGGCAGACACTACTTCTCAAGAGGGTATGGTAAATTTGATGAGGTAGATTTAGCTACATAAACAATGGGTTGTATGTGCATAGAATTTATATCTAGCTGGTAGCACAATGGTTTGAGGCCTGAAGTTGGAAACCATCAGCTGTTTGCAGGAGAAAGACTGTTAGGTAGGCCAGCATAAGACTGGGGGATGTCCGTTAACGCATGCCCAGAGGGCCAAGCTAGGGAAACAAAGGAGTGGCGCACTGCACATGCTCAGGGTTCCCGCCGGTAGGCAGGGGTGGATGTGAACCTGAATTGGCTCACCTAGCCAGGTAAATTCAATTCAGCCAATGGGGTCGACCAGGGGTCTTCCACCACGCCTCCCTGTGGAATCCTTGAAAAGGCAGAAGCCCGGAGTCGAGGAGAGAGAGAGAACTTAGGCGCAGAGAGCTTTGGCATGCTTTGCGGACGCAGAGCCGCTTCCTGCTAGGCTGCATGTCCGGGAGGAGTCCCTTGGGTGCCGTGTAAACCTGAAACTTCTTCTAACCCTCATAAAACTCACTTCGATCACGAACCAGGCTTCAGCGTGAATTCTTTCTCGCGCGGAGCCAAGGACCGAGGTATAAAGCTAGCTCCAGAGAGATCTAACAAGACCAAGCTTTCGACTCCCATCAAGAGTTACAGTCTCAGAAACCCAGAGAGACAGCGCTACCCTGGCCTGTAAGGTTGACTCTTATTCGAGAGCAGTGAGTGCCTTGTGGGGGGTTTGTTTGTCTGGGGAGCGGTGTTGTGCTAGACACAGAACTTCACAAACCTTTTTTGATCATGGCTCACGGTGAAAAACAGTTTCCAACCTACCATATGGATTTACATAACTGAAAGAAATTCTTCCATGAAACAATACCCTCCTTTGTGTATAAGACATTCTGATATTTTCTTTTCAATTTGCTTCTGTCTCAGGCTTGGTCAGAATCCACAACACCCATGTCCAAGCCTTCAAATGGGTCAAACTTAGAAAAACATTGGTGACCACGTGACAAAACTATGTAAACTCCCAGCTTCCTCGGGGCTACACAGTCCTGGGGGTGGGGTATTTGTGCCCCGTTTCACTGAGAAGCTAAAAGGGCTCCGAGAAAAGACTTGAATTTTCCAAGGTCACAAGTTAGCACCCAGTACCCTGGAGAGCTGGCTGAGGTTCAAGAGAACAGGGTTTCCCTGTTTACAAACACCGAGCGAGCCCTGACCTCCAGCCATGCCCAGTACATGGAGAAGGGGCTTGAGGACACCACTGCTATGGAGATCCCGCCTCACAGCAAACCTATACAGTCTTTGAGACTGGAAATTTACAGGAGCCAAGAGTCTCACCTTTCTCCTAAGGATCAGCTGGTGAGTTAGAACCACCGACCTTTTGGGTAGCAATTGGATGCCTAATCTACAGTGCAAAATATTCATAGTCCCTGTCTCCACCTGCCAGCGCTGGCCTATTCAAATTCACTCTCCTTCAGGTGATTGGCCTAAAGGAGTTCCCAAACCCCCACCCTTGCCTTGAGGCCAGCTTCCTCCATCAGGCCCCGCCTCCCAGCAGGTCCTGGGGCAGTAAATCCTGCCTCCTACCACTGGGGGTGTGGCTCCGTGACAGGGGGGCTGGAGCTGCTCGGCTCTGGTCACCAGGTCATTTCTTCCTGAAACCTGAGCTGAGAAGGCTCCTGGCAGGCCAGGACCCCCAACTTCTCAGCATGTTTCTCAAGGAAGGATTTCGGTGAGTGGGGGCACTGCCAAGCCAGCAGGTGAGGAGGAGGGAAGAGGGCAGCCCAGAGAAGTTGAGCGTGGCGGCCCAACAGGTAAGCGGGGGCTGCGAGGCTAGCCTGCTCCAGACTGGCTAAGGCCCAGGAGAAGGTGACTCTAGGATGTAGGGTGGCTGTCACAGAGGGGCGGCACGACGGTCCATGGGGATGTACGGGGTGGGGTGCGTGGGGGCTGCCACCGTGGAGATCCTGTCGCCAGAGGGCAGCTAGGCACCTCTAGCTTCCCTGAGCTCCAGACACCACCTACCCAACCCCACCCTGAGCCCGTGAGGGTAAAGTCTCAGGGCAGGTGTGTTCCCCAGGGAACAGTGCTTGTCCCGCCCTGGGAGTGACTGGCCAGGGCTATAACTCATGCCTCTAACAAGTGGCCGATCTTGAAACTGGTTGAAAGCAAGGGCAGTGGGGAGCAAGGTGTTGGATAGGGCGTGGGAAATCACCTTTGCGAGTGCAGGCAGGGTGGAGGGGGTTCTTTGAAAAGATCTGGTGGGGGACTGTGGAGGGAATGGGTGGCAGGCTGCTCTGTGGACTAGGGCCCCAAGGCTGGGGCAATGTTGATGAGCCCCTCCCCCATACCTGGACCTCAGCTCCCTCCCAGCCCTGACAGTTTGACCTCCGCTGAGCTGCTCGAGGCCAGCACTGCCTGGTTGCCCTGGCAGAGGCCCAGTCCCCAAGATAAGTATCAGCTTGCCGGGTCCCGGATGGGAGGGGGCTGGTATGAGGGCGAGGGAGGGCAGAGAGAGCCTGGGGTGTACTCTAGCCTCTTCCTGTCCCTCCGGGTGCATGGAACACCTCCGGGGGCACTCTTGTCCCCAGGTCTGCCCAGATTTCCAGGAGCTGAAGACAGGCAGCTACAGCCAACAATTCCAGCGCTGGCTGCAAGCGGAGGTCAAAGTCAGGAGCAGGTGTGGGGTCCCAGAGTTCGGCAGTCAACCCAAGGCTCTAGGAAAGAAGTTTTGCTGAATGGTTGGAATGTGAGATGGCTTGGGGAGTGGGGAGGCCCCTTGCTTATGGGAAATAACAGCAGCAACTGAGGGACCCTCCGGAGACAGGCCACAGAGCCGTGCCAGGGCCAGTCACGATGCTGCTGGAGTCTCTCTGAAGTTGCTGACACCAAGTGGGTGATAAAAAAAAAAAAAAAGGAAAGACTTTATGGTGTCTACCTGCGGCTCAGTGGACTGGCGTCCAGAGACCACACCCCGCTCGCCCTGTCCAGGCCCATTGTGTAAGGCAGGGGAGCGATTCACGGGTGGGTGGTCTGGTTGGTGAGCCAGCACAAGAGCATGCGCAGCCAGAAAGAAGCACTTACACAGGGCTGTGCTGCGAGAGAGCTGGCCGCAGATAGCAAGTGGTTACAAAGGCAGAAGGGGGTTGTGTGTATGTGTGTGTGTGTGTGTGTGTGTGTGTGTTTGGGGTGGGGGTTGGGGGATGCTGAAAGTTTCTTTATCTCTGGAGCAATGCTTTGTCTCTGCCTCCACGAAGCCCCAAATGCTATGTTAGAGGCTCTGGTTTGGGGTCAGCCAGACCTGGGTCCAAATTTCAGCACTAACCTTTCCATGCTGTGTGACCCTCAGCAAGTGACTGACCCTGTCTGAGCCTCAGTTCTGAATATGGTAGAGCTATCGTAGCAGCTACATCAAGGGATTGTGACCGGATGTAAATGAGCCAGGCACATGGAACACCTGGCAGGGTGAATGAGTAAATATATGATTATAACAAATGTGTTAGTCTGGGTAGACTAGAGAAACAAATGCACAGAAACTCATATGTATTTAAGAGAGAGTTTTACATAAAGGGTAAGTGTACATTCAGAAAACAACCCAACCCAGTGATGTCCAGTCCATAGTCCAACATTAGCCCATATGCCCGACACCGATCTACAAAGTCCTCCTCAATCTCGGAAAACACACACCCAATGACGCCCACTGCAGGAGGAAAGCCGAATCAGTGAGCGTGTAAGCATCTCAGCGCTGGCAGGGGTCTCCACCCGGCTGCTCCAGCACCCAAGGCTGCATCGGGGTAGGTCCATGTGGCTTCTCCTCAGAGATGTCTTACAGGAAGTGAGCCTTGTCAGCTGAAGCAGGGAACTGGCTAAGCCAGCTGCACCCTGGTCTGACCACAAAGCAAGAGACCCAAGAACTAGAAAGGCGAGGCTCATCGAGCCATTTTTCTCTCCACTCCAGTTAATCCCACATATGTTTATCAGCCAGGTTGGCAAAATAAACCTTAACTATCTCATAATGATTGTGTATTTAATCATGAAGAAGCAGGTGTTTTACACAAAAGAGTAATACTGGGTAAGGGACTAAGGACAAAGAACCCAGTCATGCCTAGTTCCTTTACTGAACAAGTGGCTATTCGTACCATTAGACTATGAGGCGGCCTTGGCCGGGAGGAGGGTGTGTGTGCAGGGGGAGGGGGAAACAGGACAGTCACATCAACTAGTGGGTGGGATCCAGACATGAAACCAAAAAGCATATTGGAGACAGGATGGCAGGGGCTGATGGTGAAGAAACTTTCTCCAGAGGGGAAGCCGGGTTATCACAGAATGAGTAGGAGCTAGCTAGGGAGGTCAGTGTTTCCCAAAGTGGGCGACATCGCCCCTGGGGAGGAGGAACATTGGCACGATCCAGGCCTGGGGCGAGGAGGAGGGCTGAAAAAGCAGATGCCCACACTTTATCCTGAGAAGCCTTGATGGCGTAGTGGTTACACGCTGGGCTGTTCATAGCAACCCACAGTCCAAACCCACCCGTAGCTCTGCAAGAGAAAGAGGAGGCTCTCTGACCTGTAACGAGTTCCAGGCTCAGAGACCCACAGGGCAGTCCTGCCCTGCCCTATTGGCATCCGCTCGTCGTCAGTGAATACACTTCGTCCCGAGTCCTGCAGGTAGGGTGAGTTAAGTACCGGGCTGCTCATCACAAGATCAGCCATTTGAAGTCACCTTTTTGGGTAAAGATCAGGCTTTTGGTGCCTGTACGTTTTTATGGGCACCAAAAGGCTGATCATTTCCCCACGGAGGATGTACACTGGTACAGATAAGAACTGGAAACACAGGGAATCCAGGGCGGATGATCCCTTCAGGACCAGTGCTGAGAGTAGTGATACCGGGAGGGTGGAGGGAGTGTGCGGTAGGATGGGGGAACCGATTACAAGGATCTACATATTACCTCCTCCCTGGGAGACAGACAGCAGAAAAGTGGGTGAAGGGAGACGTCGGACAGTGTAAGATATGACAAAATAATAATTTATAAATTATCAAGGGTTCATGAGGGAGGAGGGATGGGGAAAATGAGGAGCTGATACCAAGGGCTCAAGTAGAAAGCAAATGTTGTGAGAATGATGATGGCAACAAATGTACAAATGTGCTTGACCCGATGGATGGATGGATGGATGGATGGATGGATGGATGGATGGATGGATTGTGGTAAGAGTTGTACGAGCCCCCAGTACGATGATTAAAAAAACAAACAAAAATGTACAGGCTTTGAAATGCCCAGCGCAGTTCTGTCCTGTCCTAGAAGGTGACTCAGTCCGTCTGACTCAGTGGCTGGCAGCCAGGGATACTTTACCCTAGTTTATTATATATGTAATGACAGGCTGCGACAATGGGCGCGGGCACAGAAACGACTGAGGATGGCGCAGGACCAGGTGGCGTTTTGTGCTGTTGCGCAGAGGGCTGTTATGGGGCGGCACCTGACAGCCACACCGGCTGCAGCAAAGACGTGCTTAGTTGCCAGTGGCAGGTGGGGAGGCGCCTAGTAATTTTTTTTTCCTTGCAGATTTATGAGGACGAGGGGAGCTTTGGGTACTCTGAGGTAATAACACCTGGGGAGGGAAAAGAGGTGCCACTCAGGGACCTGGGACCAAGGACTGAGGGCACAGGAGGGAGAAGGGGTGGGGAGAAATGCCAAGGGCAGCCTGTGGGGCATCTGAGTCTGGGGTCTTTGTGGGACACGCAGGTGGACACAGCTGGCCCGGGGACACCTTTTTCTCTTTCTCCCTCAGAGCCGCTGGTAGGTTTGAACTGCTCACCTTGTGGTGCGCAGCTTAGAGCATAACCCACCACGTACGCAGGGCTCCTTTGGGGGCTCAAGCGTCACGGCTGCGAGAAAGGAGCAGCGCAGTATTCCTCCCGTTGTGCAGAGGCGCTATCAATTTGTACCCATGCAGTGACCTCACAGGTTTGAGATGCTCCTGAGAACTCCAATGGACAGGTGACTGGTACCCATGTGTACGGGTGCTCTCGGTCACTGTACCGCACCACACCCTGAGCAGTCCCAGCAGAACCTCCAGGGAGTGGTTCCACCCCACGGCTAGGGGACACTACAGAAGCATGTCAAGTACAAAGTGGGAGTTCCCCTTTCTCCTCCCAGGTCAGCCCACCTTCAGCAGTCTGGGATGTCCCCTGCTAAAGCGAGGTGTGGTGGTATGGTGGTGGTGTGGTGATGTGGTGGTGTGGTGGTGGTATGGTGGTAGTGGTGGTGGTGTGGTAGTAGTGGTGGTGGTGGAGGTGGAGGTGG